GGGTTCAGCCTCCTGATGAGTCGGTGGAACTCCGACGAAACAGTTTGTCACAGCCCCTCGTTTGTTGTCATTTTCTCTCTCTCTGCCTACGGTTTATCGGGCAGTTCTGATTGTGACGATATATGCTACGACTTCCCTAGCTTCCAGCTACGTTTTTTCCGGTCAGGTCGAGCGGCAGTGGTCGGGGCCGTTACTAGGCGGCCATGCTGTGCCTCTAGTGCCAGCGGCGTGTCTGGAGTGTATTTTTTGGATGTGACATACCTTTCTTTGTTTCGTGGATGTTTTGCTGGCTTGTGATGGGGTGTGAACCGACAGTCTGTAGAGTTTTCCATCTGGTGTGGGTGAGTGATAGTCTACTTTGATTTTGGTTAAGGTAGATTATCGTTTACAGTGTAATCAGTGAGGGGATTCTACAGACTGTTGAGGGTTTAGCCTCCTGATGAGTCGGTGAAACTCCGACGAAATAGTTTGTCACAACCCCTCGTTTGTTGTCCTTTTCTCTCTCTCTGCCTACGGTTTACCGGGCAGTTCTGATTGTGACGATATATGCTACGACTTCGCTAGCTTCCTGCTACGTTTTTTCCCGGTCAGGTCGAGCGGCAGTGGTCGAGGTTGTTACTAGGCGGCCATGTTGTGCCTCTAGTGCCAGCGGCGTGTCTGGAGTGTATTTTTTGGCTGTGACAAACCTTTCTTTGTTTCGTGGATGTTTTGCTGGCTTGTGATGGGGTGTGAACCGACAGTTCGTAGAGTTTTCCATCTGGTGTGGGTGAGTGATAGTCTACTTTGATGTTGGTTAAGGTAGATCATCATTTACAGTGTAATCAGTGAGGGGATTCTGCAGACTGTTGAGGGTTCAGCCTCCTGATGAGTCGGTGAAACTCCGACGAAACCGTTTGTCACAGCCCCTCGTTTGTTGTCCTCTTCTCTCTCTTTGCCTACGGTTTACCGGGTTGTTCTGATTGTGACGATAAAACCGTAGCAGGAAGCTAGCGAAGTCGTAACATATATTGTCACAAACAGAACTGCCTGGTAAACCGTAGGGGGAGAGAGAGAAGAGGACAACAAACGAGGGGCTGTGACAAACTGTTTCGTCGGAGTTTCACCGACTCATCAGGAGGCTGAACCCTCAAACAGTCTGCAGAATCCCCTCACTGATTACACTGTAAACGATAATCTACCTTAACCAAAATCAAAGTAGACTATCACTAACCCACACCAGATGGAAAACTCTACTGACGGCCGGTTCACACCCCATCACAAACCAGCAAAACATCCACGAAAGAAAGAAAGGTCTGTCACAGCCAAAAAATACACTCCAGACACGCCGCTGGCACTAGAGGCACAACATGGCCGCCTAGTAACGGCCCCGACCACTGCCGCTCAACCTGACTGGAAAAAACCGTAGTAGGAAGCTAGCGAAGTCGTAGCATATATCGTCACAAACAGAATTGCCCGGTAAACCGTAGGCATATATATATATGTCCTCTTCTCTCTCTCTGCCTACGGTTTACCGGGCAGTTCTGTTTGTGACGATTTATATATGGGCAG